ATTGGTTTGAGTCCCGCCACCGTCAAACCTTTTGCAACATACAACAAAACAATATTTATCTGTTTTGTTGCAAGACAAACTTTAAGGTTATAAACTGAACTGAAAAGATATTTGGAATATGTTGGATGATATGAAAAGATATCCAACTGGTATTTGCAATTCAAGCTTTTTCTGAAACGATATTTCATATTTGCAATCAAAGCTTTCTTTTTCTTTTTCTTTCACCCCTCATTTTGCATTCCTATTCCTCATCCCCTTGTCAGATTTGTAGCTTTCTTGAAACTTGAAACATTTCCAAAACAAAAGCCAGTCAGAGTCGGACTTTATTAGTCGGATTACTGTAATAAGGCACTTTTAAAATCCTCTAAAGCCTGATTAAGCCATTATATTCAATTAAGATAAAAACAACATTGCTTTAGCTTTAAAGTTCATTATTTAAGTCCCAAGTTGAGTCTAGGGGTTTTTAAAAAAAATTTAAGCTTGTAATTTTCATCATAATGCATTTAATAGCTAGATTGAAACCTTCAAACATTTAAACCTGATAGAAACTTCTATTCAACAATTAAAACAATTCCAAAGTATAAAGATACCTTTATTTCTTTATTAAAGTGATTATAAAGGGTTTTGATTGAATCTTTGAGTGAAAAACTGTAAACAAATTTACCTTGTCACAAAAAAAAAAAAAAAAAAAAAGCGCGCCGAGACGATAAAAAAAAAAAAAAAAAAAAAAGGAAAGAAGGGGGGGAGAAATAAGAAGCTTCGTTATTTAAAATTAAAAAAAAAAAAAAAGAAAAAAAAAAAAAAAAAATAAAAAAAAAGGAAAAAAAAAAGGGGAAGGTAAATAATAAAAAAAAAAAAATTTTTTAAAAAATTTTATAAAAAAAATATTATATATTAATATAAAATATATTAATAATATTTTTTTTAAAAAAAAAAAAACGTTTTTTTGAAAATTTGTGAGGGAAGATAGAAGTTGGCCAGGCAAAAAAGCGCGGTTCGGCGAGGTTTCTCGCTGTTTTTCCTGCTGGTTCTTAACTCGACGTGGCGCAGCCAGGAGTGCCCTCGTCTAGCACCCACAGGGTCCGAGTTCGAACCCCGGTTGCGATCCGACTTTTGATTTTGAAAAATAAAATATGAGATGCAAAACTACTCAGAATTCTAAGCCTAACACTAAAATTACGTAAATCGGCTCACGGGAAGCCGAGATCTCGCGCGTACAAATGGACGAAGCAAACAATTGATTTTATATATAGATTGTTAAAAAGAAAGGTAGAGTGACTGGCTTGAGAAAGGCAACAAAGAGAGATCAGTTTAGATTTTCCAATCTTTAAAATGCTGTAAATCTTTTAAAGTAACGGCAATCTCGAAAGTCTATGATCCATTTAAAGTAAAGGAAGTACAAGAGTTTCCGGTAGGAAATTTTATAAGGAACATTTTAAGAACAACCGCAAGTTGATCGGTTAACTGAAAATGCAGATATGGAGGAAGAGAAAAGAGTGATAAGCTTCCGCGGAACAATAGCACAGTTGTTAAAGAAAAAGAGTACTTTTTATTAGATGAGCCCCGATTTTTTCGACGGATTCGAACTCCTCGACTAAAACTACATCTAGAAAAGTAATCTTAAAAAAATTTTTATTGAAAAAAACTTTTTCTATCTTTTTATATTGCAGTTTACTAAGCGAGTTATAGTTTTATATAATCGAACTTCATTAGCTACATTTTAAAACCAACCCCAAGTCGATCCGTCAATTGCAAGTAGGGATATCAGACAAAAGAGAAGAGCAGTCCAACTCAGATTCTCATGCGCGAGTTGTTCATAATTTCGACGATTTTATGAACAACTTTTGTTCATAAAATGTGCCTTATGAAATTTGGCTATAGACACAAATTACTTAGTAAACTTTAACATAAAAACATGGTGAAAATCTCAGTCAAAGTTTGACTATTTAGGCGAACGACGAAAGGATCCTCATGCACTGTACCAGGATACCAGGACCAGGACAAACTTTGTAGTACTACAAACTTTTAAGTTTGCAGTACTGCAAACTTTGCAGTACTGCAATTTGTAGTACTGCAAACTTTGTTTGTCTTGCAACAAAACAGATAAATATTGTTTTGTTGTGTGTTGCAAAAGGTTTGACGGTGGCGCGACTCAAACCAATTGTAAGGATAGGAATTGTAGTAATCTAATGCCCAAACCCTTAGGTCATCATTGCTCTTGTTTCCCTCGCGTTTTGAGCGTTCTTATTGGCTAGGGCTTAGGCTTTTCTAAGGCCTTAGGCCTTAAAACTCTATTGGCTTCTTTCGAAAATTCCAAACAACCATTCTTGAATGAATTTGAGCTCAAAATTGACCAAAACAGTTTTCGGTTAGTGGCATGCCGACTTAGTGACATGCCTAAAAAATTTAGTGACCTTGCCAATTTCAGATCCTTACGATCCTCAGTCACTGCTTTGGGAAACACATTCGTCTACATGGTCGTTTTGTCGGGAGTCGATCTTTTGGTCACAATGTCAATTCCATTTCATTTATCAGGTAGATGAGTTTTTGAGATTGTTTCAAACAAATTTCAGTGATGGTGCTAGAGAATTGGATTTTCGGGCAACTCGCTTGTAAAATCTACTTTCTTTTAGAGCTTTCGAATAAGGTTTTAACTCGAAAGCAACCATCTCCAACAATGATTCTAGATCTGTTCCTCTTTCATCCTAACAGCTCTAGGTTTTGATCGATACATGGCGATCTGTCATCCGGAAGTGAAACGGGTAAAAATGAGGGAAAAGGCTGTAGCAGTACACTAGAAGTACACTAGAAGTACACCAGAAGTACACTAGCAGTACACTAGCAGTACGCTTTTAGTAGTACGCTTTTAGTAGTACGCTTTTAGTAGTACAATTTTAGTAGTACACTTTTAGTAGTACACTTTTAGTAGGACACTTTTAGTAGTACACTTTTAGTAGTACACTTTTAGTAGGACACTTTTAGTAGTACAATTTTTAGTAGTACACTTTTAGTAGTACACTTTTAGTAGTACACTTTTAGTAGTACACTTTTAGTAGGACACTTTTAGTAGTACACTTTTAGTAGTACACTTTTAGTAGTACACTTTTAGTAGGACACTTTTAGTAGTACACTTTTAGTAGTAGACTTTTAGTAGTACACTTTTAGTAGTACACTTTTAGTAGGACACTTTTTAGTAGTACAATTTTAGTAGTACACTTTTAGTAGTACACTTTTAGTAGTACACTTTTAGTAGTACACTTTTAGTAGGACACTTTTAGTAGTACACTTTTTAGTAGTACACTCACAGTACACTCACAGTACACGCGCTCGTCGTTCAATTTTTCACTAATGATTTGATGAAAAAGATAAACTAAACCATTAAAGAAATCTGAAATCAACTGAAATCAGCTGACACATTCATTCCATCCATTTCCAGGTTCACCAAATGCGTCAAACGGCAGCCATTGTGACTTGGATCATCTGTATCTCGACAATCCTAATTGCGCCCGTTGTCTTCAGCTTATGTAAAAGAATTTCACTCTGACGACATTTTCACGAGGATCTTAGAAAAGAAACCAAAACCTGAGGTGAAAAGAAAAGAAGCTAGAAGTTTAAGGTTGCCATAAATGCCATAAATTTTCGGTAGTCTATTGCTGAATGAAATATACAAGATTCAGAACGTTCAGTCAACAATTGAACACAATAAAAAGAGACTCAGACTTTACAAAGCTTTAACTTCCATAAAAGCCAAGTGATTCAGGAGGAACACTGTACTTATTACTGTACTTCTGTCGTGCTCAGTACTGTATTTCAGGAGTACGGTACTTCAGGAGGAGTACTGTGCTTCGGGAAGAGTACTGTGTTCCGGGTACTGAACTTCAGGGTGCTGACTTTGGTACTGTACTTTGGGGTACTGGCTTCGGTATTGTACTTTGGGGTACTGTACTTCAGGGTACCTACTTCGGTAAGGTACTTTGGGGCACTGTACTTTGGGGTACTGTACTTCAGGTACCTACTTCGGCAAGGTACTTTGGGGTACCGTACTTTAGGATACCTACTTCGGTACTGTACTTCAGGGTACTCACTCCGGTATTGTACTTTGGGACTGTACTTTGGAGTGCCTGCTTCGGGATACTATACTATAGAAGTAATACTTCAGGGTACTTACTTCGATACTGTACTTTGGGGTACTGTACTTTGAGGAATTATGTCTCAGGAGAAGCACTATCCCGTCAACTATTTAAACTATTTAAAAATAGTATTTGCAAAACCCTGTTGCTTTGCTCATAGCTTTGCTGTTGAACTGTTGAAGCTGTTGAAATTTGGATATGAAGATTTTCCAGAGGATCACCTATCCAATTGTGAAACAAACGTGCGTTGACGGGTTGAGTATCACGATGAAATTCTGGGTAATCTCAGTGATTTTCTAATTTCCAAAAAACTTTTCTCCAGTTTCTATGCGCCATGGTTGTCGTTGCTTTTCTGCTCCCATGCACTTTACTCACATATTTCTACGCGAGAATCATTTTGAGGTTGAGGCGACAGATACGGTAAGTGATCGTACATTTGTAGCAATTGCAAACACAGGAAACTTGAGGAAATTTAGCTTTCTTTAGCTAGCTTTAGCTTTCTTTAGCTTTCTCTAGCTAGCTTTAGCTTTCTCTAGCTTTAATTTAGCTTAATCAACCAGTTCTAATGCAAACAATGCCTTTCAGCACAATGTTACAATCAAGAATCCCCATTAAACGGATCACCATTTACACATTGGTTGTCACATTGTTCTACTTCGCATGTCAGGTATTTGAAAGAAGAACTAAGTGTGAACTAAGTAAAGAATCTTGTTTAATCAATGAATATCTTTAGATTCCCTACTGGTTACCGCAAATCTACTTGATCTTTGCGAAAATCTTTCATCTTTCTCTCAGTCCTGACTTCATCAAGATTCCAGAACGGGTAGAAAGCGAGTGGCTGACACGATGGACGAGTTGTGTATCGAGATAATGTCGAGGAGTGAGGAGGCGCCGAATTGTGTTTGTCCAAACTGTCCAAACTGTGAGCAGCCGCTGTCGATCAAGGTAGGCAAAATGGAACAGTTAGATACATACAGAAGAATCTCTCTTACACCTTCAGTACTTTTTCTTCAGGTTCAAAAGATCAGCACCTCAGTGAACGGGAATAACGCAAGCTACGTGTAAATATCGTTAAATATCGCTAATTTTTCGTTTTTTTTTTTTTTTTCGAATTGCCTTGCTTTTATGTTGATTTTTGAGGTTTCTCTTCTATTTTTGATCTTTCTTCACTAGTTTGATCTGCAATTTTAGTAAATATAAGTAAATTAGTAAATAGAAAAAAACAGCGAGTTCGAAATAAATACCTTTTATTCACGAATCATTTGAAAAACCCAGAGAAAAACTAAATGGAGAGGTGTGCTTTGTGTTTGTAAATGGAAGCGCATTCTTTCTAGAGCACTTGACCCTTTTCAATGTTGATTTTGATTGAAAAACAAAGTATCCCTTAAATTTCCCTTAAAATCAGTCAAAATTGAGGAAATAAACTCCATAAACTCTAAATAAACTCTCCGTATGCCTCGATCTCGATACACAACTCGTGTCAGCTACTCGCTTTGTACCCGTTCTGGAATAAATACCGATTATTCAAGTTCATCAACTGCATTCTGCTTGTTGTAGACTTTGTTCAAGGATAGGCCAGGATCACAAGCCTGAGCCTGAGTCTATGCCTAAGAGGGTACGATACTGTACTTTGGGGTACTCTAAGGCAATAAATTTGAGGTATGACAATGTCTCAGCCAGTAAACAAGTAATCAGGTACAAGCTCAAAGCCAGACTGCTCGTGTTTGGGATCACGGTGACGTCGCTCTCTTAGAGGTGGACCTTAGATATTAGTAGTGAAAAAACCTTATGTTATCTAGCTGGAAACGGATATTGACACCAGTGATGATCTTGGAAAGCGAGTATGCCTCGAAGCCAGGGGCTTGACACTGAAAGAGCCGATGCTCGCTTTTGGAATGGGAGATGGTAAAATTCAAAAGTTGTCTAGCGATGAACAAGACACCTTCTGCGGTCGCGGAAAAGCCACGACTAAGGCAAATATCCTTTGAGCTTTCAACATTGCTTTTAGGGAGATTCCGGTGGCCCGCTTGTAGCAAAATTCGGTCAGCTTTGGTACCAAGTGGGAATCATGAGCGACTCGTCCAGCCTTGGATACAGTTATTTTCTAGTGGCTTAAAAGTTCCCTTCATTTTCAGCGAGGGCGACTCCGATCACCTCGAAACTTTGCGAGTGGCTCAATAAAGAGACAAAAACCATCATTTGCTAAGCCGCTGCCAAATAGAATGAATTCAATGACAAAAATGTCACGCCCCCTTTGCAATCTTCTGCTTTTGAGTTATCAACTTTCTTCAGCGAGAACCCGGGGCGGGTTTTTGGAGAATCAAAAACCCGGGGGCGGGTTTTTGAAGAGTGTCCGAGAACCCGGGGCGGGTTTTGGAGAGTCAAGCCGAGTTCCTTGACTAATATCGTATGCGATTTTAGTCAAGATATTCACGATTTCCTTGACTAATATGGTATGCGATTTTAGTCAAGGGATTCACGATTTCCTTGACTAATATGGTATTAGTCAAGATTTGGATGGTAAAAAGCCTAAGCAAACTCTAGGTTTTAAGTGCAAATTCGGATTCTACATAAGATTTGGACCTAGAAAAAGTACTTTATAAGATACTGCGTAAAGGTTTTCTTCCCTTTTAATATGATCTTCATACACTAGGATCATATAAAATCGCGATTTTATATCGCGATCCTGGTACGTATCTAGATAAAATGATCAATTCTTTTGAATCAATTGAATTGTCATCCCGCCACTTGTGCGATCCATCTGAAACTTGAAAAATTGATTTAAAATTGATTTGAAAGTCTATTTTATCTATTATCTAGAGTATCTAGATAAAATGATCAATTCTTTATCTAATTATTAAGATCATGAAATTAATTAGATATAGAATTAACAAGGGAAAGATTTTCAGAATCAATCTGAAAGGGAAAGCTCATGAAATAAGTAATTCTTGATGCGGATTTTAAGAGATATTGTTAATTTAATGGTTTGTGCAGGGTTGAATCAATTAAAGTTTTGTCTCTTAATCTCTTTATCTCTACAAAATATTCATTGTGGTCCGGGGATCGATCGAGGGGAGAGGCTGCGACGCTCCTATCTGAATGTCTTCCCAGCTCCTTTTGCATTCATTCTCCGGTCTCCTTCATTTCAGTTTTCATGCTTTTTTGTTTATATCTTTCAATTATTATGAATAATCACTACCTTTGGAATAATCACTACCTTTAATACATGACTTTTCAGTAAAGTAATTTTAAGGCATCCCCGAACTTTGTTGTTGGCGCATTGTTGATGGTTTTCGAACAAATAACACGTTCTTGTCTGAGGATGCCTTTTTATTACCATGAAGCCATTGGCATTGACGGCTATTGCCCTAGGGCGCGAGATTTAATTAGAACGCTTGGAATTGGTAAGAGCGAGAGCTAGGGACCAAAAAGGAGTATAAATGCTAATAGATTTTACTTTTCGCTTTAAGACTGCGATGACGAGCAGTGAGGCTTTTATGCGGGGTTTATGAAGTAAATCAAAAATCAAATTTCAAAAAATCAAAAAATCTCCTTTTTCTCTTCTTTTTCTCTTTTCCCCAAATTTTTAGCAATTGGCGGGTTTCGAGAAAAAAGAATTGAATTTGTCTTTCACATAAGAATTTATATAAATGATAACGGTTAATTTATAACTTGAAAACGTTTTCCGATCGTCAACTTGTAATAAACTTAGCTGCTTTATCGACTTTGCTAAAGAGTGACTCAGCCAGTAGATGCTACAGTAACCATAACTATAGACACTATCGTAATCCGTAACCAAGTTACGCGACGTTACTACCTTGCAGTACGAAATATTTTCCACCGTAGTCATCGAGATTACTGTAAGCTTGACTATCTGGTATGATATCACAGCTGGATCTGATCACATTCTCTCAATCGTGTACATTTAGACCGGCTTACGATATTCCATCGAATTCTGCTGTTAGAGGATAAATATGCGCTGAAAATAGGTTTTACTATGAAACGCAAATCTGACAAGGGGATTCAAACTGGGCGTTTTGGGATAAGCTCTGTGCAAGCACCAATCAGATATAGACATTCCAAATATCTATCCACTTTTTGCTCAAATTAAAATCCTGGCGAGAAAATTGCATTTGAAGTTTCGAAAAAAGTTGTTCGATTTTCGAAAACAAGCCAAGCAGCTCTTGTTTGCCAACAAACCCTAGCCAATAAGAGCGGCGGTAGCCTAAAGGTAGTGTGCTGGGCTACAGAACTCATGCGACCTTTTGCGTTGGGTTCGACTCCTCCCAACGATCAGTTATTCTTGAAAAACAGACATGCTATTACATTTTTACTTTTCCCTTCATTGTCTTCATTTATCTGCACTTCGAGCTTTATCCTGAAACGTCAACCTCAATTTTGAATCATTTTTGAGCTCCAAAAAAGAGCTCCAAAAATTTGGTATAGGAGAAATGATATGTTTACACTTTTCGAGTACCAAATAGAATGATAATAGATTAATTTCGACAAACAAAGTTCATTTTGAAGATTCGTGCTCTCAGAGATCTCACAGAGGTCTGTGAGTTCTCTCGAATCAATCCCTTGGTCTGTTTCCCATTGCTACTCTTCCTTTTTCTCACACTTGTTTAGAATTCGCGTATCGAAAGGCAAGGGAACTTTATTCGAAAAAATCGAGTCCACCAGAAGGACGAGTGTTTACACTTTCCCAGTACAGTACTCGGTCGGCTGTCTGTCTGTCTGAGTACAGTACTCCGTCACCGTATTCATTGATAGAGGTTCAATTATTTGGCATTAGATGCATCCTATTGTGCAATCATCGAAAACTACCGGAAAAAAATATTGACCTCATTTTTTGAAGTCTTTTTTCCCAATTTTTGGCAATCAAAGTTCAAAAATTTCAATTTAATTTTCCATTCTTTGTCGCGTACTTTGAGTGTAAAGATGGTGCAAACACAAGCCTTCTAGTGTATTCGGCTTTTCACTTTTTAATGCTCTAAAGTCACCCTGTTTGTACAAAGCCATATTCCGCCAAAGACAAGGTTAAAAAGCAATTTGTCGAGATTTTTTGTAAGTAGAGTCAATGATTGAAAATCGAGAAAAAAAGCAAAAAAAAGTGCAAAAAAATAATTGGCCTCATTCTTTGAAGTTTCTTTCATACTTTTTTCAGAAAAATAAAAAAGATTACCGTACCCTGAAAACTGATTAGAGAAAGAGAAAAACGAGGTTCACCCTAGAGACAATGATTAGTGAAAGAGGGGGAACATTTCAGAGAAATCTCTCAAATATTTCCGAGTGTTGGAGTGAAAGCGAAATTTTATGAACTGTTGAATCAAAACTGTTGAATTTGAGTCGAAAGAATGAGTCGGAAATTTGCTAATTTGCATCCCAGATGGGAAAAGAGTGAGGCTAGAAATGGCAAAGATTGAGCAAGCGACTCCGCTCTTTACTCGGCTTTTTCTTTGGCGCCGCGTCACTTTTAAAAGTCTTTAGCTTGATTTTTGCTCGATATGGAACGCAGCTTAAACATTTTGATACTTATTTTCTAAATAAACAAAGATAAGTATACTCTGGTGTTGTACTGTAGCAAGACAATAGCTACCGTATTTTTTAGGTCTTTTTGTAGGTCTTTTTAGGCCAGATAATGGTTGACTTTTTGGCTTTTTCGTTTTTAAGACCGTTCAGATCTCCGCTTCTAGAACAGCAACTGTTCTAAAAAATTGTTTCATTGGAAAGTCAAGAATATCAGCTTTTGATTGCTATTTTACATAGCAATATGTAATGACTAAGCACCTTAAAACCTTTATTGATACTTATCGATATTCTTGACTTTCCAATAGTTAGCTATCGAATATCGATAAGCTTTCGATATTCGATAGCTAACTAAATCGGAACTCCGATCAATAATTAAGTAACTTTTTAAGGCACTCACCCACGAGGGTTTGCGATGAGATAGCATTCAAAAGCTGACATTCTTGGCTTTCCAACGAACCATTTTTCAGGTTGTTGGCTGCTCTAGAGACCAAGATCTGGGCGGTCAAAGATGAGATTTGTATCGATGAGGTCGATAACGCGCCGAAGATGGGGAAAAAGACATCGATAAAAATCAAGAATACCTTACTGATTGATAGTTTCTATTTTCTAGAGCTTCCAGAGCTTCTATAGCTACTAGAGCCTCTAGAGCCTCTAGAGCTTTCAAAGCTTATCTAGAGCTTCCAGAGTGTTTCTATGCGCTTAGGTATCAAATTAAGGTAGAGAGAATAAGTGAATTTTTGAGATATAATACATCTTTTTAGCATTAACCAGCGCTTAGAAAAAAATTATTAAAAGATGATGATACACAACAGTGTTGTGTTGAGATTGATTTGTTTGAGTGTAATCTTGGACCGTGGTACCTGTGGAGTATTCGGGGTTCAATATATCATTGAAAAATATCAATACATTTCTCACAATGTTCCAAAGTAAATCTTCGTATTCGTTTGCTTCAACCGTTTCTTTTTCTGTGAAATAAAAAGCTTTCCGAGAAGGCTTTCCGAGCTTTCCGAGCATCAAGTGAGCTTTTTCTCTCCTTTTTCTCCTTTTTCCCCTTTCTCTCCTTTTGCTCTTCTTTTTCTCTTTTCCACAAATTTGTAGCAATTGGCGGGTTTCCAGAAAAAAGAATTGAATTTGTCTTTCACATAAGAATTTATATAAATGATAACGGTTAATTTATAACTTGAAAACGTTTTCCGATCGTCAACTTGTAATAAACTTAGCTGCTTTATCGACTTTGCTAAAGAGTGACTCAGCCAGTAGATGCTACAGTAATTATAACTATAGATACTATCGTAATCCGTAACCAAGTTACCCGACGTTACTGCCTTGCAGTGCCAAATATTTTCCACCGTAGTCATCGAGATTACTGTAAGCTTGACTATCTGGTATGATATCACAGCTGGATCTGATCACATTCTCTCAATCGTGTACATTTAGACCGGCTTACGATATTCCATCGAATTCTGTAGAGTACAGTCATTTGCTGTTAGATTTGTGTAACTGTGTATTCGGTTATCTTTGAGAAAGTGAAATTGAGTTTGCAGTTTGAAATCAGTGCCAAACGCGTTAGATGCAGAATCTTTCTATAGCTCTTCTTTCTATAGCTGTAAATTCGCCTTCAGCTTCATTTTGTGCTCGTAAACGCACTACTTCTCGTGCACTAGTTTTCTTGCGAAAACGAGCAGTTTATAACCAAGGGAAATTCCAATAAATGGCTTTCACGAGATCGCTTAGGAAAAGTTGATTAGGAAAGTTTATGTAATGATAGAGTTGAGTAGAATCGATGTTTAAAATTAGAAAAGCTAATAAGGATCATTTGATTAATAAAAAAGTAAAGGAGTTGCCAGGAAAAAGTAGATTTAAGGTAAGTTTATATAGATTTAATTGCAATGAAGATCACGTACAAAGTAGAGAAATTGTTCAGAAATTGGTAAACCAAACTTTCCCAGTTTTCTGGCAAATTTAGAGAAATTGTATGACAGAATAACTGACTGAAATGTTTAGTTTAGTATAATAAGCTTTAAATCAAAAGGTTAAACACAAGTTGCTTTGAATCCCATCAACAATTTCTATAATAGCTTCTTGAATTATAGGTAAATTTGATAAATATTTCTACCCTCTCTTGCAAAACACGTTCATTTTGCAGTCTTTCCTCTTAGTTCAAGACTATTTTCCCACTCACTCCTAATCGCTTTCCGATTTTCACAAAAAAGTTTATAAAAAAGAGTCGACAAATTGAGTCCAAGTCATTTTCCCTAGCTGATCGTTTTCTTGTTCAGTTTTCTTCACTGAAATCTTATAGAAAAAGCTGTTGGCTTTGAAGTTTTTGAAGAACGTTTTTGGCAAAAAAGAAGACAAGTTTCATTCATAATAGATTTCTTTGGAGTATTTATACAAGCATATTTGGAATACTAAAGCAAGCAGTGCTTTCAGGAAAAATAAATACATTTTGATGTCATTCTATTTTTACATTGAATTGGCTATTTACTGATTCTATTATCGATATTAGAATAACTCTTGAAAGTTTCAAAAAAGTGATGACACAAAAGACAAAAAGATGTAATCAAAGATTCTAAAAAAACCGAAGCCAAGCACTTTGGTTGGTTATCAAACACAGAAACCATGGTGAAAAATAGAAAAATTATTAATTTTAAAATAGAATTTTTTGATTTTTTGAAATTTGATTTTTTATTTACTTCATAAACCCCGCATAAAAGCCTCACTGCTCGTCATCGCAGTCTTAAAGCGAAAAGTAAAATCTATTAGCATTTATACTCCTTTTTGGTCCCTAGCTCTCGCTCTTACCAATTCCAAGCGTTCTAATTAAATCTCGCGCCCTAGGGCAATAGCCGTCAATGCCAATGGCTTCATGGTAATAAAAAGGCATCCTCAGACAAGAACGTGTTATTTGTTCGAAAACCATCAACAATGCGCCAACAACAAAGTTCGGGGATGCCTTAAAATTACTTTACTGAAAAGTCATGTATTAAAGGTAGTGATTATTCCAAAGGTAGTGATTATTCATAATAATTGAAAGATATAAACAAAAAAGCATGAAAACTGAAATGAAGGAGACCGGAGAATGAATGCAAAAGGAGCTGGGAAGACATTCAGATAGGAGCGTCGCAGCCTCTCCCCTCGATCGATCCCCGGACCACAATGAATATTTTGTAGAGATAAAGAGATTAAGAGACAAAACTTTAATTGATTCAACCCTGCACAAACCATTAAATTAACAATATCTCTTAAAATCCGCATCAAGAATTACTTATTTCATGAGCTTTCCCTTTCAGATTGATTCTGAAAATCTTTCCCTTGTTAATTCTATATCTAATTAACTTCATGATCTTAATAATTAGATAAAGAATTGATCATTTTATCTAGATACTCTAGATAATAGATAAAATAGACTTTCAAATCAATTTTAAATCAATTTTTCAAGTTTCAGATGGATCGCACAAGTGGCGGGATGACAATTCAATTGATTCAAAAGAATTGATCATTTTATCTAGATATGGTGAAGATATGGTGGAAAAATAGAGGATTCAATATGAACCTTATACGCTGTACTAGGATCGCGATATAAAATCGCGATTTTATATGATCCTAGTGTATGAAGATCATATTAAAAGGGAAGAAAACCTTTACGCAGTATCTTATAAAGTACTTTTTCTAGGTCCAAATCTTATGTAGAATCCGAATTTGCACTTAAAACCTAGAGTTTGCTTAGGCTTTTTACCATCCAAATCTTGACTAATACCATATTAGTCAAGGAAATCGTGAATCCCTTGACTAAAATCGCATACCATATTAGTCAAGGAAATCGTGAATATCTTGACTAAAATCGCATACGATATTAGTCAAGGAACTCGGCTTGACTCTCCAAAACCCGCCCCGGGTTCTCGGACACTCTTCAAAAACCCGCCCCCGGGTTTTTGATTCTCCAAAAACCCGCCCCGGGTTCTCGCTGAAGAAAGTTGATAACTCAAAAGCAGAAGATTGCAAAGGGGGCGTGACATTTTTGTCATTGAATTCATTCTATTTGGCAGCGGCTTAGCAAATGATGGTTTTTGTCTCTTTATTGAGCCACTCGCAAAGTTTCGAGGTGATCGGAGTCGCCCTCGCTGAAAATGAAGGGAACTTTTAAGCCACTAGAAAATAACTGTATCCAAGGCTGGACGAGTCGCTCATGATTCCCACTTGGTACCAAAGCTGACCGAATTTTGCTACAAGCGGGCCACCGGAATCTCCCTAAAAGCAATGTTGAAAGCTCAAAGGATATTTGCCTTAGTCGTGGCTTTTCCGCGACCGCAGAAGGTGTCTTGTTCATCGCTAGACAACTTTTGAATTTTACCATCTCCCATTCCAAAAGCGAGCATCGGCTCTTTCAGTGTCAAGCCCCTGGCTTCGAGGCATACTCGCTTTCCAAGATCATCACTGGTGTCAATATCCGTTTCCAGCTAGATAACATAAGGTTTTTTCACTACTAATATCTAAGGTCCACCTCTAAGAGAGCGACGTCACCGTGATCCCAAACACGAGCAGTCTGGCTTTGAGCTTGTACCTGATTACTTGTTTACTGGCTGAGACATTGTCATACCTCAAATTTATTGCCTTACAGTACCCCAAAGTACAGTATCGAACCCTCTTAGGCATAGACTCAGGCTCAGGCTTGTGATCCTGGCCTATCCTTGAACAAAGTCTACAACAAGCAGAATGCAGTTGATGAACTTGAATAATCGGTATTTATTCCAGAACGGGTACAAAGCGAGTAGCTGACACGAGTTGTGTATCGAGATCGAGGCATACGGAGAGTTTATTTAGAGTTTATGGAGTTTATTTCCTCAATTTTGACTGATTTTAAGGGAAATTTAAGGGATACTTTGTTTTTCAATCAAAATCAACATTGAAAAGGGTCAAGTGCTCTAGAAAGAATGCGCTTCCATTTACAAACACAAAGCACACCTCTCCATTTAGTTTTTCTCTGGGTTTTTCAAATGATTCGTGAATAAAAGGTATTTATTTCGAACTCGCTGTTTTTTTCTATTTACTAATTTACTTATATTTACTAAAATTGCAGATCAAACTAGTGAAGAAAGATCAAAAATAGAAGAGAAACCTCAAAAATCAACATAGAAGCAAGGCAATTCGAAAAAGAAAAAAAAAACGAAAAATTAGCGATATTTAACGATATTTATACGTAGCTTGAGTTATTCCCGTTCACTGAGGTGCTGATCTTTTGAACCTGAAGAAAAAGTACTGAAGGTGTAAGAGAGATTCTTCTGTATGTATCTAACTGTTCCATTTTGCCTACCTTGATCGACAGCGGCTGCTCACAGTTTGGACAAACACAATTCGGCGCCTCCTCACTCCTCGACATTATCTCGATACACAACTCGTCCATCGTGTCAGCTACTCGCTTTCTACCCGTTCTGGAATAAATACCGATTATTCAAGTTCATCAACTGCATTCTGCTTGTTGTAGACTTTGTTCAAGGATAGGCCAGGATCACAAGCCTAAGTCTGAGTCTATGCCTAAGCCTAAGCCTAAGTTTAAGCATGGAATTTTATGGACTTTCAGTGGAACTATAGGGAATGGAAATGTCAGACGAGCAGGGAATGAGAGATGCAGTAAGAATGGGACACAGAAAAGCTTCTGCTCCTTTACTTTATTCATCGGATCACTAGGTTTATTGATCCCGAATCTGAACAAATCAACAGGCTCACTGATTTACATTTAAGGTGAACTAGGAATTACGGTGGTCATCCCAGGTACAGTAGACGGAGAACGGTAGAAAATTTCGGTCGTAAGTTTTGTAGAGTTATCAGTGGTCAATTTGTAATTGCGCTGGGTAACTATCATGTTTTCAATTCTCCTGTCGGCTTGGGCTTGGTCTATGGCTTGGTCTAGCTTGTAAATCGAACCTTGTCATTTTCCTGTGCATTCGTTCGGTGACCAAAATGAGTCCCTTTTTGAAGTGACTATTCAGTTAGGCATAGAAAATCCAATTGAACGCCGCGGCCAAAAAGGGAAGCATATGCGCCACATGGGTGATCTTGATGAAGTCAGGACTGAGAGAAAGATGAAAGATTTTCGCAAAGATCAAGTAGATTTGCGGTAACCAGTAGGGAATCTAAAGATATTCATTGATTAAACAAGATTCTTTACTTAGTTCACACTTAGTTCTTCTTTCAAATACCTGACATGCGAAGTAGAACAATGTGACAACCAATGTGTAAATGGTGATCCGTTTAATGGGGATTCTTGATTGTAACATTGTGCTGAAAGGCATTGTTTGCATTAGAACTGGTTGATTAAGCTAAATTAAAGCTAGAGAAAGCTAAAGCTAGCTAGAGAAAGCTAAAGAAAGCTAAAGCTAGCTAAAGAAAGCTAAATTTCCTCAAGTTTCCTGTGTTTGCAATTGCTACAAGTGTACGATCACTTACCGTATCTGTCGCCTCAACCTCAAAATGATTCTCGCGTAGAAATATGTGAGTAAAGTGCATGGGAGCAGAAAAGCAACGACAACCATGGCGCATAGAAACTGGAGAAAAGTTTTTTTGGAAATTAGAAAATCACTGAGATTACCCAGAATTTCATCGTGATACTCAACCCGTCAACGCACGTTTGTTTCACAATTGGATAGGTGATCATCTGGAAAATCTTCATATCCAAATTTCAACAGCTTCAACAGTTCAACAGCAAAGCTATGAGCAAAGCAACATGGTTTTGCAAATACTATTTTTAAATAGTTTAAATAGTTGACGGGATAGTGCTTCTCCTGAGACATAATTCCTCAAAGTACAGTACCCCAAAGTACAGTATCGAAGTAAGTACCCTGAAGTATTACTTCTATAGTATAGTATCCCGAAGTAGGCACTCCAAAGTACAGTCCCAAAGTACAATACCGGAGTGAGTACCCTGAAGTACAGTACCGAAGTAGGTATCCTAAAGTACGGTACCGCAAAGTACCTTGCCGAAGTAGGTACCTGAAGTACAGTACCCCAAAGTACGGTGCCCCAAAGTACCTTACCGAAGTAGGTACCCTGAAGTACAGTACCCCAAAGTACAATACCGAAGCCAGTACCCCAGAGTACAGTACCAAAGTCAGCACCCTGAAGTTCAGTACCCGGAACACAGTACTCTTCCCGAAGCGTGTACTGTGAGTGTACTGTGAGTGTACTACTAAAAGTGTACTACTAAAAGTGTACTACTAAAAGTGTACTACTAAAAGTGTCCTACTAAAAGTGTACTACTAAAAGTGTACTACTAAAATTGTACTACTAAAAGCGTACTACTAAAAGCGTACTACTAAAAGCGTACTACTAAAAGCGTACTACTAAAAGCGTACTGCTAGTGTACTGCTAGTGTACTTCTGGTGTACTTCTAGTGTACTTCTAGTGTACTGCTACAGCCTTTTCCCTCATTTTTACCCGTTTCACTTCCGGATGACAGATCGCCATGTATCGATCAAAACCTAGAGCTGTTAGGATGAAAGAGGAACAGATCTAGAATCATTGTTGGAGATGGTTGCTTTCGAGTCAAAACCTTATTCGAAAGCTCTAAAAGAAAGTAGATTTTACAAGCGAGTTGCCCGAAAATCCAATTCTCTAGCACCATCACTGAAATTTGTTTGAAACCTAATTTTTGATTCTCTACAACTTTTCTATTGACACCAAAATGGATTTCTTTTGAAGAAAGTGTGAAAACTGGACATCAGACATCTCCAGTCCTACATTTCTGAGTCTCACACTTCTCTCACACAGAAGCCAAAATCCTACTACGGAAGAGGAATCCGCAAACTGCCTGTGAAATGGGCAGAAGCCGAATGGAAATTATTTCGAATGAATTCATGGTTTTAGGTTGAATAAATTCTAGTTCAAAGTCCGGCAGTTTTCAATTCACCAACCCAATATGTCCGGTACGTAATTACGGAAATTACGTCTATTATTATTAAAAAGTTGTCTGTGATATTAACCTCAGTGCAATAAATTTATTAGAAAAAATTAAAGCTTCTTCATGCGTCGTGGTCCGTTCGAATGTTCACATTTATCGACCGTGTAGAATTGGCTGAAAGAAAAGGTTTTGAAAAGAAAAAAGATTTGATAGAGTACCAAAATCTGGGTGGTAGACAGTTTTTCTTTATCTAACAATGAGGAGCCTTCAACTTGATTTCTTTAGCAAAATTTCAAATAATCATTTGTTGCTGTGGATTTTTCCACGTAATCTCAAGCAATCAAATGTAAATTTTCACCAGAAACGTTTATAAATAAGATGAATTGAATCAGAACAAAGCAGAAGTTATTCAATTCGGATTTCAACGGGTCTTATTCATCTTTCAATTCAATTCAATTCCGATCTGAGTCCTTTTTGATCCGAATTTAATAAGATCTGATCGATCCAAGTGCTTTTCTGTTTGGGTTGAGAATGCAAAACAGAACTTACACATTGCTCGAAGACTGCTGGTCAAGCGGATCTCCCAAACTCAGTTTCACTTTGCTGTAGAAAGGGCGATCATTTGGAGTCGAAACAAAATAGTAACACGCTCTTTGCTCTCCCTAAAAGAAGAAAATAAAATTTGTTTTTTCTGCTGCAGATTACTAGGATTTCTAAACTCAAATTAGATCCAAAATTAACTCATTCACCGATTCTCCGCATGTGTAGTTGACCCTGAGTTAAAATAAATCATTTATCCTTTTAACTAAAAGCTTTATGATCAAAAAACCTTTGATAAGCATGATTCAGAAAATCTGTATGTGAAGAATGAAGGGACCCATTGCAAATAGCGAGAATTATAATGGCAGGGGATTGTCAGAGACATCCTAGTTTTGCTCAGTTTGTCTAGGTTTCTGAGTGGATAGGAACTTTACCTATTTTTCAAAATTGCTCAATTTCCCATTTTCCATTCAATTTTCCATTCGTGCAAGGAATGTTCCCATTCATCCTTTGAGTTCTTAACTGAGCTTCCAGCATCAAGAACTAAAAGTGTCCTACTAAAAGTGTACTACTAAAAGTGTACTACTAAAAGTGTACTACTAAAAGTGTCCTACTAAAAGTGTACTACTAAAAGTGTACTACTAAAATTGTACTACTAAAAGCGTACTACTAAAAGCGTACTACTAAAAGCGTACTGCTAGTGTACTGCTAGTGTACTTCTGGTGTACTTCTAGTGTACTTCTAGTGTACTGCTACAGCCTTTTCCCTCATTTTTACCCGTTTCACTTCCGGATGACAGATCGCCATGTATCGATCAAAACCTAGAGCTGTTAGGATGAAAGAGGAACAGATCTAGAATCATTGTTGGAGATGGTTGCTTTCGAGTTAAAACCTTATTCGAAAGCTCTAAAAGAAAGTAGATTTTACAAGCGAGTTGCCCGAAAATCCAATTCTCTAGCACCATCACTGAAATTTGTTTGAAACAATCTCAAAAACTCATCTACCTGATAAATGAAATGGAATTGACATTGTGACCAAAAGATCGACTCCCGACAAAACGACCATGTAGACGAATGTGTTTCCCAAAGCAGTGACTGAGGATCGTAAGGATCTGAAATTGGCAAGGTCACTAAATTTTTTAGGCATGTCACTAAGTCGGCATGCCACTAACCGAAAACTGTTTTAGTCAATTTTGAGCTCAAATTCATTCAAGAATGGTTGTTTGGAATTTTCGAAAGAAGCCAATAGAGTTTTAAGGCCTAAGGCCTTAGAAAAGCCTAAGCCCTAGCCAATAAGAACGCTCAAAACGCGAGGGAAACAAGAGCAATGATGACCTAAGGGTTTGGGCATTAGATTACTACAATGCCTACCCTTACAATTGGTTTGAGTCCCGCCACCGTCAAACCTTTTGCAACATACAACAAAACAATATTTATCTGTTTTGTTGCAAGACAAACTTTAAGGTTATAAACTGAACTGAAAAGATATTTGGAATATGTTGGATGATATGAAAAGATATCCAACTGGTATTTGCAATTCAAGCTTTTTCTGAAACGATATTTCATATTTGCAATCAAAGCTTTCTTTTTCTTTTTCTTTCACCCTCATTTTGCATTCCTATTCCTCATCCCCTTGTCAGATTTGTAGCTTTCTTGAAACTTGAAACATTTCCAAAACAAAAGCCAGTCAGAGTCGGACTTTATTAGTCGGATTACTGTAATAAGGCACTTTTAAAATCCTCTAAAGCCTGATTAAGCCATTATATTCAATTAAGATAAAAACAACATTGCTTTAGCTTTAAAGTTCATTATTTAAGTCCCAAGTTGAGTCTAGGGGTTTTTAAAAAAAATTTAAGCTTGTAATTTTCATCATAATGCATTTAATAGCTAGATTGAAACCTTCAAACATTTAAACCTGATAGAAACTTCTATTCAACAATTAAAACAATTCCAAAGTATAAAGATACCTTTATTTCTTTATTAAAGTGATTATAAAGGGTTTTGATTGAATCTTTGAGTGAAAAACTGTAAACAAATTTACCTTGTCACAAAGAAAACATAAGTGAGCACAGCGACGTTGCCAGCCGTTCCGAAAATGAACAAAAAAGCGTAGGGAAGGGAAAATGAGGTGACTTCGGTGCTGTACACTTGCATTGATGGACCCGCCGAATGTACAGAAGTCATCTGAAATTTGAATAAAGAGGGGAAAAGTGAAAGAGATGATATAAAAGAGGAGAATATGTTAAGAATATATTAAGAGTAAAATATAAGAGTAGAATATAAGAATATATTAAGAATATAGTTTTCAGAATAAAAATACGATTTATTGATAAATTGTTAAGGAAAAGATAGAAGTTGGCCAGGCAAAAAAGCGCGGTTCGGCGAGGTTTCTCGCTGTTTTTCCTGCTGGTTCTTAACTCGACGTGGCGCAGCCAGGAGTGCCCTCGTCTAGCACCCACAGGGTCCGAGTTCGAACCCCGGTTGCGATCCGACTTTTGATTTTGAAAAAATAAAATATGAGATGCAAAACTACTCAGAATTCTAAGCCTAACACTAAAAATTACGTAAATCGGCTCACGGGAAGCCGAGATCTCGCGCGTACAAATGGACGAAGCAAACAATTGATTTTATATATAGATTGTTAAAAAGAAAGGTAGAGTGACTGGCTTGAGAAAGGCAACAAAGAGAGATCAGTTTAGATTTTCCAATCTTTAAAATGCTGTAAATCTTTTAAAGTAACGGCAATCTCGAAAGTCTATGATCCATTTAAAGTAAAGGAAGTACAAGAGTTTCCGGTAGGAAATTTTATAAGGAACATTTTAAGAACAACCGCAAGTTGATCGGTTAACTGAAAATGCAGATATGGAGGAAGAGAAAAGAGTGATAAGCTTCCGCGGAACAATAGCACAGTTGTTAAAGAAAAAGAGTACTTTTTATTAGATGAGCCCCGATTTTTTCGACGGATTCGAACTCCTCGACTAAAACTACATCTAGAAAAGTAATCTTAAAAAAAATTTTTATTGAAAAAACTTTTTCTATCTTTTTATATTGCAGTTTACTAAGCGAGTTATAGTTTTATATAATCGAACTTCATTAGCTACATTTTAAAACCAACCCCAAGTCGATCCGTCAATTGCAAGTAGGGATATCAGACAAAAGAGAAGAGCAGTCCAACTCAGATTCTCATGCGCGAGTTGTTCATAATTTCGACGATTTTATGAACAACTTTTGTTCATAAAATGTGCCTTATGAAATTTGGCTATAGACACAAATTACTTAGTAAACTTTAACATAAAAACATGGTGAAAATCTCAGTCAAAGTTTGACTATTTAGGCGAACGACGAAAGGATCCTCATGCACTGTACCAGGATACCAGGACCAGGACAAACTTTGTAGTACTACAAACTTTTAAGTTTGCAGTACTGCAAACTTTGCAGTACTGCAATTTGTAGTACTGCAAACTTTGTTTGTCTTGCAACAAAACAGATAAATATTGTTTTGTTGTGTGTTGCAAAAAGGTTTGACGGTGGCGCGACTCAAACCAATTGTAAGGATAGGAATTGTAGTAATCTAATGCCCAAACCCTTAGGTCATCATTGCTCTTGTTTCCCTCGCGTTTTGAGCGTTCTTATTGGCTAGGGCTTAGGCTTTTCTAAGGCCTTAGGCCTTAAAACTCTATTGGCTTCTTTCGAAAATTCCAAACAACCATTCTTGAATGAATTTGAGCTCAAAATTGACTAAAACAGTTTTCGGTTAGTGGCATGCCGACTTAGTGACATGCCTAAAAAATTTAGTGACCTTGCCAATTTCAGATCCTTACGATCCTCAGTCACTGCTTTGGGAAACACATTCGTCTACATGGTCGTTTTGTCGGGAGTCGATCTTTTGGTCACAATGTCAATTCCATTTCATTTATCAGGTAGATGAGTTTTTGAGATTGTTTCAAACAAATTTCAGTGATGGTGCTAGAGAATTGGATTTTCGGGCAACTCGCTTGTAAAATCTACTTTCTTTTAGAGCTTTCGAATAAGGTTTTAACTCGAAAGCAACCATCTCCAACAATGATTCTAGATCTGTTCCTCTTTCATCCTAACAGCTCTAGGTTTTGATCGATACATGGCGATCTGTCATCCGGAAGTGAAACGGGTAAAAATGAGGGAAAAGGCTGTAGCAGTACACTAGAAGTACACTAGAAGTACACCAGAAGTACACTAGCAGTACACTAGCAGTACGCTTTTAGTAGTACGCTTTTAGTAGTACGCTTTTAGTAGTACAATTTTAGTAGTACACTTTTAGTAGTACACTTTTAGTAGGACACTTTTAGTAGTACACTTTTAGTAGTACACTTTTAGTAGGACACTTTTAGTAGTACAATTTTAGTAGTACACTTTTAGTAGTACACTTTTAGTAGTACACTTTTAGTAGTACACTTTTAGTAGGACACTTTTAGTAGTACACTTTTAGTAGTACACTTTTAGTAGTACACTTTTAGTAGGACACTTTTAGTAGTACACTTTTAGTAGTAGACTTTTAGTAGTACACTTTTAGTAGTACACTTTTAGTAGGACACTTTTAGTAGTACAATTTTAGTAGTACACTTTTAGTAGTACACTTTTAGTAGTACACTTTTAGTAGTACACTTTTAGTAGGACACTTTTAGTAGTACACTTTTAGTAGTACACTCACAGTACACTCACAGTACACGCGCGTCGTCGTTCAATTTTTCACTAATGATTTGATGAAAAAGATAAACTAAACCATTAAAGAAATCTGAAATCAACTGAAATCAGCTGACACATTCATTCCATCCATTTCCAGGTTCACCAAATGCGTCAAACGGCAGCCATTGTGACTTGGATCATCTGTATCTCGACAATCCTAATTGCGCCCGTTGTCTTCTCAGCTTATGTAAAAGAATTTCACTCTGACGACATTTTCACGAGGATCTTAGAAAAGAAACCAAAACCTGAGGTGAAAAGAAAAGAAGCTAGAAGTTTAAGGTTGCCATAAATGCCATAAATTTTCGGTAGTCTATTGCTGAATGAAATATACAAGATTCAGAACGTTCAGTCAACAATTGAACACAATAAAAAAGAGACTCAGACTTTACAAAGCTTTAACTTCCATAAAAGCCAAGTGATTCAGGAGGAACACTGTACTTATTACTGTACTTCTGTCGTGCTCAGTACTGTATTTCAGGAGTACGGTACTTCAGGAGGAGTACTGTGCTTCGGGAAGAGTACTGTGTTCCGGGTACTGAACTTCAGGGTGCTGACTTTGGTACTGTACTTTGGGGTACTGGCTTCGGTATTGTACTTTGGGGTACTGTACTTCAGGGTACCTACTTCGGTAAGGTACTTTGGGGCACTGTACTTTGGGGTACTGTACTTCAGGTACCTACTTCGGCAAGGTACTTTGGGGTACCGTACTTTAGGATACCTACTTCGGTACTGTACTTCAGGGTACTCACTCCGGTATTGTACTTTGGGACTGTACTTTGGAGTGCCTGCTTCGGGATACTATACTATAGAAGTAATACTTCAGGGTACTTACTTCGATACTGTACTTTGGGGTACTGTACTTTGAGGAATTATGTCTCAGGAGAAGCACTATCCCGTCAACTATTTAAACTATTTAAAAATAGTATTTGCAAAACCCTGTTGCTTTGCTCATAGCTTTGCTGTTGAACTGTTGAAGCTGTTGAAATTTGGATATGAAGATTTTCCAGAGGATCACCTATCCAATTGTGAAACAAACGTGCGTTGACGGGTTGAGTATCACGATGAAATTCTGGGTAATCTCAGTGATTTTCTAATTTCCAAAAAAACTTTTCTCCAGTTTCTATGCGCCATGGTTGTTGTTGCTTTTCTGCTCCCATGCACTTTACTCACATATTTCTACGCGAGAATCATTTTGAGGTTGAGGCGACAGATACGGTAAGTGATCGTACATTTGTAGCAATTGCAAACACAGGAAACTTGAGGAAATTTAGCTTTCTTTAGCTAGCTTTAGCTTTCTTTAGCTTTCTCTAGCTAGCTTTAGCTTTCTCTAGCTTTAATTTAGCTTAATCAACCAGTTCTAATGCAAACAATGCCTTTCAGCACAATGTTACAATCAAGAATCCCCATTAAACGGATCACCATTTACACATTGGTTGTCACATTGTTCTACTTCGCATGTCAGGTATTTGAAAGAAGAACTAAGTGTGAACTAAGTAAAGAATCTTGTTTAATCAATGAATATCTTTAGATTCCCTACTGGTTACCGCAAATCTACTTGATCTTTGCGAAAATCTTTCATCTTTCTCTCAGTCCTGACTTCATCAAGATTCCAGAACGGGTAGAAAGCGAGTGGCTGACACGATGGACGAGTTGTGTATCGAGATAATGTCGAGGAGTGAGGAGGCGCCGAATTGTGTTTGTCCAAACTGTCCAAACTGTGACAGCCGCTGTCGATCAAGGTAGGCAAAATGGAACAGTTAGATACATACAGAAGAAGAATCTCTCTTACACCTTCAGTACTTTTTCTTCAGGTTCAAAAGATCAGCACCTCAGTGAACGGGAATAACGCAAGCTACGTGTAAACATCGTTAAATATCGCTAATTTTTCGTTTTTTTTTCTTTCTTTTTCGAATTGCCTTGCTTTTATGTTGATTTTTGAGGTTTCTCTTCTATTTTTGATCTTTCTTCACTAGTTTGATCTGCAATTTTAGTAAATATAAGTAAATTAGTAAATAGAAAAAAACAGCGAGTTCGAAATAAATACCTTTTATTCACGAATCATTTGAAAAACCCAGAGAAAAACTAAATGGAGAGGTGTGCTTTGTGTTTGTAAATGGAAGCGCATTCTTTCTAGAGCACTTGACCCTTTTCAATGTTGATTTTGATTGAAAAACAAAGTATCCCTTAAATTTCCCTTAAAATCAGTCAAAATTGAGGAAATAAACTCCATAAACTCTAAATAAACTCTCCGTATGCCTCGATCTCGATACACAACTCGTGTCAGCTACTCGCTTTGTACCCGTTCTGGAATAAATACCGATTATTCAAGTTCATCAACCAATCAACATTCTGCTTGTTGTAGACTTTGTTCAAGGATAGGCCAGGATCACAAGCCTGAGCCTGAGTCTATGCCTAAGAGGGTTCGATACTGTACTTTGGGGTACTCTAAGGCAATAAATTTG